CTTGATTTTTAGCAGAGATGACTTTTAAGACTTAAGTTAGCAGGTTGACTTAAAGGTCATCCTGGCTAAAATATTAATACGTGCTCTTCTCAAATGCTTTCAAAATCCAGTGATAGAATTTTGCATTCATATAGGTACAGTGTTACAAGGTTTTTCCAGTCCCCTGTAGAAGAGAAGTTGTTATCCTACAATACAGTTTGAGAAAGGGTCAAAAATGTGCCTAGCTGCAGGGAGTCAAAGAGTTCCTTTGCATGAATTAGAGAGGGTAGATGGACCTTGCCTTCTTCAGGAGATGTTGCAGTGAGAAGAATTCAGGAAATTGCCAGGTTGAGTTCCTGGAAGTGGGTCAGACCAGAGGGGACTGCTGTTTACCTGCCATGATAAGAAATTAAGGGAGAAGAGAGAAATTAGCTTTTCAGGACAGGCTTCCTAAGCAAGCAAATTTTATGGGGTTGTGTTCATAGAATGATACAATATCCTTGGAAGTTGGAAGGGACCTAGAAGGATAGAGTCCAACTCCTGGCCCTGCATAGGGCACCCCCGACAATCCTGCCATGAGCTTGAGAACATTGAATGTTTCTTGAGCTCTGTCAAGCTTGGTGCTGTAGCCACTTTCCTGAGGAGCCTGTTCTACTGCCTGACCACCCTCTGGGTGAAGAGCTTGTTCCTTATATCCAGCCTAAATTCCCCCTGACACAGCTTCATGCTGTTCCCTTGGGTCCTGTCAGTGGTCACCAAAGAGCTGAGATGGATATCGGTGCCTGCCCCTCCACTTCCCCTTGCAAGGAAGGTGTTGCTCTTGTCTGTCTGTGAAGCCAATCCACGTGGGTTTCTCTAGAGTCAGGGTGCCAGCAGCATGTGCTCTGAAGGTACTGCCCACTGGAGAGATACCATAGAGCCCTTACAGAGCTCTCAGCTGTGAGGACAGAGCTACAGTCATGAAATGCATCTGTTAGAAAACTTGATTCCTTAACAGGGGTGCCACTGGAACTTACTGCTTCTGTTAGAGAGCCTCTTTGGAATTCACTTGCAGACAATAAGCTGGGTGACCCTCCAAACTGTAGCTGCTTGGTTTTGTTTGGGATTTTGAGGTTTTTTTGGTTGTTTGTTTTTTGTGGGTTTTTTTTTGTTTGGTTTGGTTGGGTTTTTTTTGTTTTGTTTTGTTTTTTTGTTTGTTTGTTTGTTTGTTTGTTTAGGATTTTGGGGTTTTTTGTTTATTTGCTTGATAATAGGCCTAGAACTGAATGAACACGTACAAGAGAGTGCAGTCACTTCCCTGGCAGCAATTAAAAAGTTTCACATGGGAAGCTGGCCATACACCTGTCCTACCTTTTCTGTTTGCAGCTTATCTTGTGCTTCTGAATTCTGGTTTCCATTTTTTTTCTTCAGCAAGTGCTGCATTCTATTGCCGTGGTAACTGAGAACGTCAGTATATTTCGCATGGAAAAACTATATGCTGTCCTTAGCCAGTGCATTTACCAACACCGGGAAGATGGTGACAAAAACGAATTAGTGAAGGTAATTTTTTTTGTCTTGTAGCACTTAGTCATTATTACAGGTGTCTGTGTGTTATGCATATGTACGTGTGCCCTGTGAATGTCATGGTTATTTAATATTACTCATTGCTGCTTAGTTGCCTGTGTTACAAGATTTGTTCATTACAGTCTGGAAGACATTTCTCCATATTGCAAAACTATTGTTGCATTTGGCTTAGCTGTTGGCAGTTTCAGCAGGAGAAGGTTTGAAGATGATGGGTCCCCCCCAAAGCCCTCTCAAGGCAGTTAACCTCAGTCTGTCACCACTCCTGCTCCAGTACCTTTTCAGTACTGGGGGGGCTGTGAAAGGAGGGTGCTTTTCTCAGTCTGTCACTTCCTCGTTCTCCTCTTGCAGGCAGTCACACATGGCAACACTTGTATAGCAGTCATTCCATTCCTGAAAAGAAACTAAATATGATGCATAACAAGAAGAGACTTTAGTCTCACCAGACTTCCTTTTTAGCTAGAACGGCTCAAGCATCTTTAATTTCATATATGGGAGCTTCCTGCCTATGAAGGTTTAATGCTAACAAGTCAAATTCTGTAATCTCTCCTTCTAAGAGAGGATTTCCAAGTTGTCAGAACTTGGCAGAAATACTCCACAGGAACCTATGGTCCCAGTCTGTCATTCCCAGTGTTGAGTTGATTTAGATAGGTTGGATATTCAGTCTTCAGCTTCAAAGTCCTTGAATTCATTTGTCTTCCAGGTGGTCATGCATAAGAATAGATAAAATTTTTTTTATGCATCTCAGTCTTCCTTAAAACAGCCAGGAAGCCTCTTCTCTTGTGTCCTGGCCATCTTGATCTTTTCTTCCACATCTGATAGAGAGTCAGATGCTCTTGCTCTGATTGTGCAACAGCAAGGATTACTTGGATTCAGGCATGCCATTCCTGAAAAATGCACCCTTCTCCTATCTATCATAATGACATGATTTAGCATGTTTGTTATCCTGGTGCTTGTGAGCTTTTGTGACAGAACTTGATTTCTTTGTTTTCTGCTTCTCTGACATTTAACCAAAGAATATTTCCTATTCAGAGGGATTGCACAAGTCAGTCCAGGAGTAAGTTCTACTGTATGAAGACAGAGACTTTAACAAGTATTTATTCAGGGTGCAGAAAAGAACAGTTCAGCTTTTAGCTGTGACTCTTTGGGAACTGTCTCCTCTCTAACTGCTGAAAGCACCATTGGTCCATAGCCCCCTGATACAGATCCCTGCAGTTTTCCTAGCCTACTCTATTTTGGGTGCATAAGGATGTGTTGGAGCCAGTGAGTATAGAACAGTGATGGTGGTAGCACATATATTGGCTAAATCATTACTAACAATTGTGTGCACAGATTCTTGCTTCTTTTGATGAAGTAGTAAACAGGGTTCTTAAGTTTGTATTCACAAGTAGTAAACAGGGTTCTTAAGTTTGTATTCACACACAATTGGTCTTTTTTTCTTCTTAGGCAATGAAGAAAGAAATTACAGCCTTCCATGATACTTGATTTCACTCTGTAATGTTTTCTTTTTATTGCATGCTGTTTTTTCTTTGCATTGTTCAATAAATACTAGGTCTACATATATATTTATACAAATATATCTTAAAATTTATTAAGAAAGCTCAAATAATGTCATTTAATGACTGATATTTCCCCTCTAGATATGTATATTTTAATGTGACATACCGCTGTGATTGCCTTTTGAACTCTGCAGATCTGAATAGATAATTTCAGTACCTCTCTTTAAAAGAAAACCTAACTTGAAACAAAGCAAGATTTACTACTGTAACTTTCTAAGGTAAAGTAATGCTTATAATAATGACAATACTGGAGAAAAGCATTTTAACACAAATTGTTAGTTCATCAGATAGCTTGTAGTTGAATTCAGTTGTAAATAGTTTTCTAGCTACCTGGGAAGAATCATATCTGTTTATTACATAAAAGTGAATATATTGTTGGTGATAAATATATTGAAGTAAAAGCAAAGCAGTACCCTGTTTTGAAGAACTATTTCTCTTCAAACCAGCAGTGAAAATTTATGTTAATTTGATAGTTATTTAAAAAAAAGGATAAAGTTTAACTATATGAAAATAAAATTTTATATAAATCATGATAAAATATGCGGCATGACCCTTCACTTTTCTGTTCTGTCACCTCACATAGACAATATGTGGCAATACTGAACACCAAACTGTGCAATCCTTCTTTGTGTTTGGTTTCTTACCTCTGTCAGTAGTGTTCTCTTTTTGTGTCTTTCTACTGTGTTTGTTCAAACATCGGTGTGCTATGTAGTTTTTTTTCTCTGTATTGTTTGGTGGGTATTAATAAAAACATCTCTTTTTAGTGGTGGGTTGTCTGCTCTATTTTAATCACAGAACAATTTTGATAATTGATAATCTTGCATTTAAAACACAAGGACAAATACTATGATTTTAAAATAAGAACTGCATGTGATCAGCTTCTTCTCCACTCAGTGTATGAATTATACAGCAAAGACAAGCTCAGGAGAAAAAAAAAAATGAAATTTACATTTTAATGCCGTTTTTGACATTGGCAATGTAATAAATGAACTAATGTCCTTAACTTGATCTCCTTCTTGGCTGCCATTGTGAATTTCAATGTGACTCGGGGCAGGCAGCTTGTTGAATGCATCTCCTAAGAGCACTATTTTGAAAACTGACAGCGTGGAATTGAGGAGCCAGAAATTCATGGGATTAAAACTTCTGTTTTGAGCACGTCTTCCTGTCACTAGGCTCAACAGGATCCTGTACCTAGGCAGATCTTAAAAAAAGCTTCACAACTGTGTAAATCTTCATCTTCTGTGTCCACCTGTGAACAGTTAAGGGTTCCCCACATATTTTCTTTCTCAAGGAGAGCATCACATTTTACTGTCTGACCCAAAATAGCACACAGTGATGAGAAAAATAGTGTAGGGAAACAACATTTTTGAGAACTGGGCAGTGAGAGTTAAATCTAAATACTGAGAGTTAAATCTGAATATTTTGTACGTAGTAAAGGGAGAGAGGTCTCCTTTCTCCAAGTTGTCTTAACTAACAAAAAAACCCCAACAACCCAAGGTATGGGAAATGTCTTTTTCGTTAGAGCCGCTACTTCTGTCTTCACTCGCCCTGCTTTGGGTCTCGGGACCCTGCGGCCGTGCCCTCCCTCGGCGACAGCTCTGGACGGGAGCGGCAGAAAAACCCTTCCCGGGCTGGGGACGACGCTGTCCCTGAGCCCGTCCCGGGTGCGGCGGGAGGGCCGAGCGCGGCGCCGAAGTTTGCCAGCGGAGGAGCGGCTGCGGGGGCGCGGCTGCCGCTCGGGAGCTCCCACCCTGCCATCCCCGCTCCTCCCCGGGCCGCCGAGGAGCCGCCGGTGTCCCCGGGCTGCGGCGCTGCGGTGCCGGGGCAGCCCCCGCGCCCGGTGTCCGCCGCCTGACGGGCGGGGCGGCGGGAGCGGCTC